CCTTGGTGATGATTTTGAGCAGTAGGGTATAAATAACTCCCACATGCTTAGCATGTGGCTCCAATAATGGAGCACTAAGCATAGATGGGTTAATTCATGAAGGAATAGAAGGTGTTGACAGACCTACAACTGCTATTGAACTTGTATCAGTTTTCAGAAACCTCCCAACAAAGCGTAGGACTAAATGGCTTCATTGATTAATTCAATGAAATATTAAAAGAAAAATTAATGCCGATCATCATAGCCTTCCAAAAAACTGCAGAGGAAGGAATACTTCCAAATTCATTTGTAGGCCAGCATTACCCCAGTACCAAAGCAAGACAGATGCCACAAAAAAAAAAAAAAAAAAATCCTTGATGAATATAGATGAAAAAGCCTCAGTGAAATACTAGCAGACTGATTCTAACAGCAAGGTAAAAGGATAACATTCCGTGACTAAGGGAGATTCATCCTTAGGATGCAAGGATAGTTCAACATATGAAAATTAATACATGTGATATACCATACTAACCGAATAACGGAGAAAAATGCTATGAGCATCTCAATAGATGAAGAAAAAGCCTTGGGCAAAATTTAATACCCTTTCCCAGTAAGAACTCTGAACAAACTAGGAATAGAAGGAAATTATTTCAACATAATAAAGGCCCATAGCTAACATACTCAGCAGTGAAAAAGTGACACTTCTTTCTCTTAAGATCAAGGAACAAGACAAGGATGCCTACTCTCATCACTTTAGTAGAGTACTGGATGGAAATCCTTGACAGAGCAATTAGACAAGAAAAGTAAACGTCATCCAAATCAGAAAGGAAGAAGTCAGTCTCTTTTTTGCAGATGACCATCATATATATAGAAAACTTTAAAGACACCACAAAAAAATTACTAGAATAAATTTAGTAAAGATGGAGTATTCAAAATCAGCACACAAAAGTCAGTTGCTCTTTTTTTTTTTAAGAGCTGTGGTGCAACCTCAGCCTCCTGGGTTCAAGCGAGTCTCCTGCCTCAGCCTCCAGAGTAGTTGGAATTACAGGCACCCACCGCAATGCCTTGGTAATTTTTGTATTTTTAGTAGAGACAGGATTTCACTGTCTCTACTAAATGTTGGCCAGGCTGATCTCAAACTTCTGACCTCAGGTGATCCACTCACCTCGTCCTCCCAAAGTGTTGTGGTTGCAGGCGTGAGCCACAGCACCTGGCCATCAGTTGCATTTTTATACACTAATAATGAATTATCTGAAAAGGAAATTAGGAGAATAATCCCATTTATATCCACACCAAAAAGAATAAAATGCTTAGGAATAAGCTTAACCTTTCACCGTAGGTGAGAGACATGCAGTAATGATAATCATAAAACATTAAAGAAATTGGGCCTGGATACTTTGGGATTGCTTGAGGTCAGGAGTTCAAGACCAGCCTGATCAACATGGTGAAACCCTGTCTTTACTAAACAAAATTTAAAAATTAGCCAGGTATGGTGGCCTGTGCCTGTAGTCCCCACTACTTGGGAAGCTGAGGCAGGAGAATTGCTTGAACCCAGGAGGGTGAGGTGGCAGTGAAGAGATGCACCACTGCACTCTAGCCTGGGTAACAGCAAGACTCCATTTCAAAAAAAATTAAAGACACAAAAGATCTTCATGGATTTGGAACACTTAATATTGTTAAATTGTCTATACAGATTGAGCATCTCGGATTTGAAAATCTGAACTGCCGGCCAAGCACGGTGGCTCATGCCTGTAATCCCAGCACTTTGGGAGGCCAGGGTGGGCAGATAACAAGGTTAGGAGTTGAAGACGAGCCCGGCCAACGTAGTGAAACCCTCTCTCTGCTAAAAATACAAAAAATAAGCCAGGGATGATGGCATGTGCCTGTAGTCCCAGCTACTTGGGAAGCTGAGGCAGGAGAATTGCTTGAACCTGGGAGGTGGAGGTTGCAGTGAGCTGAGATTGCACCACTACTCTCCATCTTGGGCAACAGAGTGAGACTTCATCTCAAAAGAAAAAAACCTGAACTGCTATAAAATTTGAAACTTTCTGAGCATCAACCTGACTCAAAGGAAATGCTTGTTAGAGCATTTTGGATTTAAGATTTTCAGCTTTGGAATGCTCAAACAGTGTTAAGTATAATGCAGATATTCTAAACTCCAAAACAGTTGTGATTTCAAGCTTTTCATCTGAGGGATATCCAACCTGTATTACAGAAAGTGGACTACAGATTCAATACAGTCCCTCAAAATCCTGATGGAATTTTTATTTATTTATTTATTTTTTATGAAAACAGAAAAAGGAATTCAGAAATTCATAGGGAACTACAGATAGTCCTGGAATAGACAAATCAGTCTTGAGAAAGAGCAAAGTTTAGAGGCACCATACTTTTTTTTTCTTTTTAGGGAGTCATGCTCTGTTGCCCAGGCTGGAGTGCAATGGTGTGATTGTAGTCTGCTGTAGCCTCTGCTTCCTGGGTTCATGTGATTCTCTTGCTTCAGCCTCCCAAGTAGCTGGGATTACAGGTGCACACCACCACCCCCAGCTAATTTTTTTTCTTTTTTCTTTTTAGTAGAGACTGAGTTTCACCATATCGACCAGGCTGGTCATGAATTCCTGACCTCAGGTGATCCACCAGTCTTGGCCTCCCAAGGTGCTGGGATTATAGGCATGAGCCACTGCATCCAGCAACATCATACTTCTTGATACCAAAATATTTTACAGAGCTACAATAGTCAAAACAGTATGGGACTAGCATAAAGACAGGCATCCAGAACAATGGAGCAGAATGGAGAGCCTGCAAATAAGCCATGCAAATAATATGGTCAACTGATCTTCAAGGGTGCCAAGAATGCACAATAGGGAAGGAATATTCTCTGCAACAAATGATGTTGAAAGAATGAGATATGCACATGCAAAAAGATGAAATTGGATCCCTTTTACCATTCAAAGAAACTCAAAATGAATTAGAGACTTAGACATAAGACCAAAAATGTAAATCTCCTGGAAGAAAACATGAGGGGGAAGCTTCATGACATCATTCTTAGTAATGATTTCATGGATGTGACATCAAAAGCATAGCCAACAACAAAACATAGACACAGCAAAGGAAAAACTGAGTGAAAGGAAATCTAAGGCGAAAATGTTTGCAAAACCAAATAACTGATAAGGAATGAATCCCTAAATATGTAAGAAACTCCCACAACTGATAGTAAAAAAAAAATCTACCCAATTAAAAAATGTGGTAAGTCAAAAAAAAAAAAGTGGCAACTCTACAGTTCGAATGATGTAGAAAAAATTAAAAATGTTTTAAAAATGTTCTAAGAACTTGAATAGACATTTCTCCAAAGAAAACATACAGATGGCCAACAGATTTTTGAAAAAAATGTTCAGTGTCACTAGTCATCAACGAAATGCAAATCAGAACCCTATGAGGTATCACTTCACACCTTTCAGGATGGCTGTCAAAAAAAAAAAGTCGCTCACGCCTGTAATCCTTGCGCTTTGGGAGGCTGAGGTGGGTGGATCATGAGGTTATGAGTTCAAGACCAACCTGACCAACATGGTGAAACCCTGTCTTTACTAAAAATATCAAAAAAAAATTAGCTGGGTATTGTGGCACACGCCTGTAATCCCAGCTACTAAGGAGGCTGAGGTTGCAGTGAGCCAAGACTGCAGCACTGCACTCCAGCCTGGGCAAGAGTGAGACTTCCTCTCAAAAAAAGAAAAAAAAAAAAAAGGCAACTAGTGTTGGTGAGGATATGAATAAATTGGAATCCTTGCACATTGTTGGTGGGAATGGGTACAGCCATTATGAAAAACAGTATGAATGTTCCCTACAAAATTGAAAGAAAACACCATACAATTCAGCAATCCTACTTACTGGCATTTATCCAAAAGAACTGAAATCGGGATCTTGAAGTTTTAGGACTCCTATGTTTATTGCAGCACTATTTACAGTAGCCACAAGAGGAAATAACTTAAATATTCATCAAAAGATTAATGGATAAAATGTAGTATATGTATCTAATGGGATTCAGCTTTTAAAAATAAGGATATGTTGCCTATGCAGCAACATGAATGAACATTGAGGACATTATGTTATGTGAAATAAGCCAGTCACAGAAAGACATACACTGCATATTTCCATTTATATGAGGAATCTAAAATTATTACTTCCACTCATATGAGCTGTCTAAAATAGATTGGAAGTCAGAGTGGAATAGGGGGTTATTAGGGGCTGGGAGGGAGGAGGAAATGGACATTTACTAATCAGTGTGGGCATAAAGTTTGAACTGAGCAAGATGAGTAAACTAGCGATCTGTACAATGTACCTATAGTCAACAATAATGTACACTTAAAAATGTGTTAAGAGGGTAGATCTCACGTTCTTGAATGTTAAAAGGTTTTATTGAACATGTACCATTAGAGTTGGATCTTTAAGGGGTGGTAGGATGAGTATAATCAGAGATAAAATGATTACGCATTCAACTAGGAGGGTGTTAATAAAGCCAAGTCAGCTATTAGAAAGTGCAGGGTTTAAGAAATAGTATACAGTGTGTATGTGAAACAGTTGAAAATTTGGAAAGGTAAATAGGAAATAATGTGAAAGGCCTTGAAATAAAGTCAGAGAGATACTAAATTTTGTTTGCTAAGTTGTAAAAAACTATTGAAGATTTTGGAGCTGACTTGGCACAGCTGTAATCTCCCTGGCAAGAAGTGTAGCATGTCTGACATATAATAGCCAATTCATATATTTGAGTGATAGAATCTTACTGTTCTTCAAGAGTCTCAAGAAATCTTTGGGAAAAATCTTAAAGTAGTTTAAGATTTTCCAGCTAGGTAGTGCTGGAATTTGACTGTGATATTACTGTATTGCTAATGAGATTTCTGCCAGAAAACAGTTTCCAAAAATAAAAAATACAAATCAAGCTCCAAGCCCTTAGCTTTTCTTTCTTTACTAAAAGTTACAAGATTTTGAGTCAATATGAATACATGCTCTAATGTACATCTTCTTTACAGGTGTTAGTAAAATGGCCTTTCGCCATTTAATTGAGTTCACATATACAGCAAAATTAATGATACAAGGAGAAGAAGAAGCCAATGACGTATGGAAAGCAGCAGAGTTTCTACAAATGCTAGAAGCTATCAAAGCCCTTGAAGTCAGGTACTTATTTCTTTAATGGGGTTCAGATAGTCATATTCAGTCATGTTCATTCTTTTAGTAAAGAACTAAGAATATTTAAGGATCTATAAAAAATCTTCTGGATACTGATTGTTCTTTCACTTGACTTTGATATCCTATTCATGTGTTAAAACTGCTAAGATTAAATAAAGTAGCATCTTCAGTATCTAATAAAATAAGTTTAGACAGCTTTTTAAGGATCTGGATCCCTATAAAATGTTTTGTTGGATTCAAGTTGTTGTTTGTACCAAGGCTTATTTTACAAAGGATTTGGCTTACAAAGATTAACATAACACTGTTTAAACATAGGGAAATTGGTGGAAATAAATAGATCAAGTGGGAATAAGGAGATAATCATTTCACGTTAGAAGTATGATAGCCAAAAATGCATACCGTAAGTCTACATAGTAGATGGGCTAAATCTAGCTCTAAGCGCACTTAGTTAAAAGAAGTTTTCAGTTACATTATTCATTGTTAGAAGACGAGAACAAATCAATTGCTGAGGAGCCATTCCTAGTATTAAGAAAACATTAGGCCAGGCCCAGTGGCTCACTCCTGTAATCCCAGCGCTTTGGGAGGCTCAAGTTCATGGATGGCTTGATCCCAGGAGTTTGCAGCCAGCCTGGGCAACATGGTGAAACCCCATCTCTACAAAAAATAAAAACATTAGCTGGGTGTGGTGGTGCACGCCTGTGATCCTCACTACTCAGGAGGCTGAGGTGGGAGGATCACCTGAACCTGGCAAGGTTGTGGCTGCGGTGAGTTGTGATCACACCACTGACTGCATACCAGCCTGGGCAACAGAGTGAGACCCTGTTTTTTGTTGTGGTTGTTTTGACATGGAGTCTTGCCCTGTCGTCCAGACTGGAGTGCAATGGTGCGCTCTTTGGCTCACTTGCAACCTCCGACTCCCAGGTTCAAGCAATTCTCCTGCCTCAGCCTCCTGAGTAGCTGGGATTACAGGTGCCTGCCATCATCCCTAGCAAATTTTTGTATTTTTAGTAGAGACATGGGTTTCACCATGTTGCCCAGGCTGGTCTCGAACTCCCAATCGTAAGTGATCTGCCCACCTCAGCCTTCCAAAGTGCTCAGATTACAGGTGTGAGCCACCGTACCTGGCTGGAGAAAACATTTTTTAAGAGATAACTTACTGAATTGCATTCATCTGTAATATCATCTCTTAGTTTGACAGTTCAAGATTAAACTTTTCTGACAAGAGCTTGATACTTATATATATTCTTTGATTCTTATCACCTGGCACATAATAGGTGTACAGGAAACACTTATGAATAGACAGACAGATAGATGCATGCATGCCAATTAAAACCAGATCAGTACTCTATTGCAGAGAGACCTGAGCATGGATGTCAAAATAGAGGTGTGTTCTGAGGATATATACCTGATCAGGCCATCTCTTCTCAAAAAGATGAAAGGAAATATATATAGATGGGGTGATGTCAGATTTGTGGTTAAATCTTGAATGAAAGGCTTGAGTGAAATGTGGTTAAATCTTGAATGAAAGCCTTGAGTGAAATATGGTTAAATCTTGAATGAAAGAATGTTCTGTGTGACCCTTTTGCTGCTCGTGGTAGTGAGCAGTACGTCAATTTGGAGAGGTTCTTGGGAGCAGAACAGTGAAACATTCTGTAACAGTGGCCTAAATTGGATTTGGGAAACAATTGAGTTTATGTCATTGGGAGATGAAGCGAGACTCCGTCTCAAAAAAAAAGTAGATTTTTGGTTTTTGTGTTTTTTTGAAAATTGTAATTTTTTTTTTTTTTTTTTTTTTGTGATGGAGTTTCTCTCTGTCACCCAGGCTGGAAGTGCAGTGGTGTGATGTCAGCTCACTGCAACCTCTGCCTCCCAGGTTCAAGCAATTCTCTGCATCAAGCTCCCGAGTAGCTGAGATTACTGGTGCCCACCACCATACCTGGCTAATTTTTTTGTATTTTTAGTAGAGATGGCGGTTTCACCATCTTGGCCAGGCTAGTCTTGAACTCCTGACCTTATGATCCATCCGTCTTGGCCTCCCAAAGTGCTGGGATTACCGGCATGAGCCACTGGGCCTGGCCAAAAATTGGATATTTTTTAATAAGTTGTATTTAAATCCCACCCCTTACCTTCCCACCCCCTTTCTCTCTTTCAGACATGGTTCGTTTGGGTTTGGTTCAGTTTTGTTTTTTGAGACAGGGTTTCACTCTGTCACCCAGGCTGGAATGCAGTGGCACAATCTTGGCTCACTGTAGCCTCAACCTTCCATGCTCGAGATTTTCCCACCTTAGCCTCCCAAGTAGCTCAGGCCACAGACGCATGCCACCATGCCCGGCTAATTTCTGTATTTTTTGTAAAGACGGAGTTTCATCATGTTGCCCAGGCTAGTCTCGAGCTCCTAGGGTCAAGAGCTGTGCCCACCTTGGCTTCCCAAAGTGCTGGGATTACAGGCATAGACCACCATACCTGGCCAAACATGGTTTCTTTTTTTTGATCTTTGAAACTTTAAGTGCAGTGATCCAGGATGGATTTTAAATCTTAAAAGGAGCCACATCCGTGGACTGCACATAGTCCTCAAAAGCAGTGATCTGCTTCTCCAGCATATCTGTTCCAACTTTATCTTCAACTACATGCTGTATTTGAAGTATAATTCCCTGTCCTACTGGAACTAGTTTAGATGAGCCAGACATAGTTTCTTACTGTTACTGGTTTAGTGACTTTCCTGGACTTCTGTAAGTCCTTTCCTATAATTTTGTACAGTCTATATTTTGTGTGTGTGGCCATTGAAGTCTCTGCTTAGATAGTTTACTGAACAAAGTGATCATTGGATGGAAATATTCTTAAATGTCCTAAATCAGTAAGTCTTCACATTTATGTTGGGGAGCTCTCTTTATAGGGCACAACATCAGTGTCCCATCAAGCAGGTTACAACTGCTTTTGCTTTTACTTCCTATGTTAACATAACCTCAAGGTCAGATAGAGATGAGAGTTTACTAAGGTCTTTCCTGGACATCTATACAGCTCTGTGCATGTGCATGGCCTTCTAGGTTCTCTGGCATGTCAGAGCTTTTTTTTGAGAAGGTTTTGAGTTGTCCAGGCTGGAGTGCAATGGCACCATCTCAGCTCGCTGTACCCTCTGCCTCCTGGGTTCAAGCGATTTCTCCTTCCTCAGCCTCCCAGGTAGCTGGGATTACAGACGTCACCATGCCCAGCTAATTTTTTTTTAATTTTTGGTAGAGACAGGATTTCACCATGTATGTTGGCCAGGCTGGTCTCTAACTCCTGACCTCAGGTGATCCATCCTTCTTAGCCTCCCAAAGTGCTGGGATGACAGGCATGAGCCACCGTGCCCGGCCTGTCAGAGCTTTTTAAAGCCCCCTATGAACATCTCATTCTCCAGTTTTCCCTTTCAGTTTTTGTTCAGCTTCTTGATAGCCCAAACTTGTAATGCCACCACAGTAGCTCCAATGATAAACAGTTGCGTTTGATTGTTGTTTTCTTGGTTTGTTTTTTTGAGACAGATTCTCACTCTGTTGCCCAGACAGGAGTGCAGTGGTGCGATCTCAGCTCACTGCAACCTCCGCCTCCAGGGTTCAAGTGATTCTTTTGCCTCAGCCTCCTAAGTAGCTGGGATTACAGGCCCCCGCCGCTGTATGCCAGGCTAATTTTTGTATTTTTAGTAGAGACAGGGTTTCACCGTGTCATTCAGGCTGGTCTGGAACTCGAGCTCAGGTAGCCTGCTATGGCCTCCCAAAGTGCTGGGATTACAGGTGTGAGCCCCACCGCATCCGGCTGATTGTTTTTTACAAATGCCTTGTGGTTAGGGCTATTGAAAAGTGAGCTCTGAGTCAGATGAAATCTCTAAATATTTTATCCTGTTTTAGATCTATCTTTTAAGGAAGTAGTATGTATAAAGCTCTTAAAACAGTACCTGCCACATAATAACATGATTGTGCATATGTTCTATTCATTTCTTGGATTGCCATCTCTGCTTGTTCATTGGCAAAATCTTAGTGAAATCTTACTCATCTTTCTGGGCTCAGGTGAGAGCCAACAACCTCAAGGTTTTCCTCACTGAGTGAAGCAGGTTGACTTAGGTACTTACTTCTATTATTCTGTATTTTTATCTTTTATATTTTCCATTACAACAGTAATCATATTAGCGCTCCCACATTTCACATAGTGAAACCCTGTCTCTACTAAAAATACAAAAATTAGCCAGGCATGATGGTGTATGTCTGTAGTCCCAGCTACTTGGGAAGCTGAGGCAGGAGAATTGCTTGAACCTGGGAGGTGGAGGTTGATACCAGACAAGTTGAGTTTGTTATTTAAAATGTGTTCCAACTGATTATACTGTATGTTGATCCTTAAGGAGAAAGTTGTGGTAGAATTGGTATTGGAGCATTCCAAAGTGGGGTATTAAGAGCAAATATTTGTCATCAAAGGAGTGACAGTAATAAGAACTTTATGGGACCTTAGTAATGAAGACATATGATTTAACAGGCCAAACAATTTAGGAATAAGAATTAATGTAGTTGGACTGCTTAAGGCAACCATATAACTCTTTTGCAGATACAAAAGGTGCATATCTTCTCACATATGCATTATGGAATTATTTTTGGAATATAGTGTAAACATTTTGAATGACACTGAAAAAAAATTAGGACCTCATTTTGCTTTGCTGAAATTACACTATTGTTTACTTAAAACTGTGTGTAGCCTGGGAATGGTGGCTCATGCCTGTAATCCTAGCGCTTTGGGAGTCTGAAGCAGGCAGATCACCTGAGGTCAGGAGTTCGAGACCAGCCTGACCAATATGGTGAAACCCCATCTCTACTAAAAATACAAAAATTAGCTGGGCTTGGTGGTGTGTGCCTTTAGTCCCAGCTACTCAGGAGGCTGAGACAGGAGAATTGCTTGAACCCAAGCGGTGAAGGTTGCAGTGAGCTGAGATCTCACCATTGCACTTCAGCCTGGATGACAGAGCGAGA